GAAATATAATTTTATGTTATGTTTGTTTAAAGTCATAAATCTTTGTACTAATCTGTACTCTTGTTGATACGATTATCCTGCTGCTATATACTATGTTACTCGCCCCAACCAAAGTGCAGCGCCAAAAAGCAGCCAATAGATGAACCGGCGACTCGTTGACCATATGACCTGTTATGAGGGTATTTGCCAATGATCAATGGATATGCTTGATTGTTGTTTCTTCTTTACGCTATGGTCTCTTCTTCATTTGTTCAACTTCGATTCATCGAGGGATAACGGTTTTCTGATGTTGCCTAGGACCATAAAGATGTTGGCATAATTGAAACCATTGTTCGTTATATTCCCAAATACTGTAACATACTAGAGCATTAGAGCTAGAGGGCACTCAAGGCCAGCGGCGGTGTTCCGTCCAGTTGTTGGCCGGGTGCTGAATTGCTGGTGCGGAGTCATCCAGCAAAAAACCCAACACATCTGTGCACATGTGGTATGTAGTTTCTATTATGCAATTAGATATACACTGTATCAAATCTCTACAACTACAAAATTCCTACGGTCAACATCTACCCGGCAGGAGATAGGTCGTGCGACCCCGTGTCTACCTAACCGAACGGCGAGGGTGGACGAAGGGGCGCAGGGGTAGGGCGTGCAGGCGCGTGCGGCGGGCCACCTGTAGGGTCCGCGGCTCCGCCGCTCTGGGCGGCACAAGGCAGGGTGCAGCCGCGTAGGCGCTAGGGCCGAGGCGGTCGAGGCGCCGAGCGTGAGGCCGCGAGCGCCGGACGGCCGGGCACCACGCCACCACGGGCGAAGCTCCTCCCTCTGCTCGCCCAAATCCCCGCGCCCCTGCGTCTGAATTCGGCTCGTCCTGCCCTGATCCATCCCCTCCTCCGCTTCCAGCGATGGGCGGCGGCTGTGTCTGCTGCGGTGGCCCCTCCTCCGCTTCCCCCCGCCGTCGTGTGCCTGGGCGGGCCATTCGAGGCTCGCCACATCCTCCTCCACCTCCCTTCCTCGGCCCCCCAGAGGCAGGCGCCCACGTCGGTCGCTAAGACGGTGAAGCGGCGCCCACCACTTCAAGATTTGGGCTACTCCCTCTCCAAGGGGATCGGGTGGGAAGTTCATCGCCTCCGAGTCCTTCAACGCGGGGATGGCGCTGGCTACCTCTCGCTATGTTGGTGAGGCACGGGAAGGTGGGTGAGGAGAAGGTCACCGAGGTCAGGTGGTTCCTCGACTCCAGTGCGGTGCCCGGCGTGCCTGCTGGACCACCCAAGTCGTCGGCTATTGCTAGGTGGGAGTCCTATGCGAAGAGGGCGGGGTTGGCCATGAACCCCATGGGGAGGAAGCTGTTTGAGGTGAGGGAGGCGGCAGAGCAACTTGTGTGTTCTGGCGGATGTTGGGACAGCAAAAGAGCTACTTAAGCTTGCTGACGAGGTATACATGCCATTAGTTCTTGTGTATTTGAGATGCCTTTCTACTATTTGCTAATAGTGTGTTAATTTGTTTGCTCCATTTGTGTTGGTTGGTCCAGAGATTTGAATGTTGAATACTCAGGTTGATATCTTTTCTGATTTTACACCAGATTTTGGGGCCAAGCTTCACACAGTATGTTCTCTTCTGACATCATCTTTCTTATCTTCTCTTTTGTTGTATTACTGATCATCATTCTTTTATTGTGTGTCCATAATAGCCCAGTTGGATTTCAAACATTGTACTTTGTCTATCACAAATCAGATGTCGGTCCTCATAGTAGAGATATAGATGCAGTATCCTTCTGTGTAATCAAAATGGGTTGTCCATTACTGTAAGGCAAAATTCCTACACCAGGCCAATCTACTTGGTTCTTTAGCAGTGTTAGCACAGGCTAGATAATTTAGTACTAAATTCCTACATTAGGCTCTTCCAGTTAAATATGATATTATCTTCAGTTATCAGTTGTGTTGAATAAATTTTCAGTTCTCCTGTGTCATCCGATGAAAAAAAATGTTGAAAATAATTTTCAGGTACAAAACTAATACTATCCTTCATCCAAGTACCAATTACTGGCCATCTAATTTATCTATGTCTGAGTTGTAGTTTTTTCCTTGCCTGGAGGAACTGATGCTAACCTTCCATTGATTGAGAAACATAAATGCTTGATTATTTTTTATTTTTAGATATAGGGTTATTTGTTATTTTTAGAATCTGGCTATTTTTAAGTTTATTATCAGTGCAACTGTGTTTCGTAATTATAGGATATTAATTTCTTACATTGACATATTCTCCTGGTCGCCGGATCAATTATTGGTCCTTACTATCTTTTGTATGACAGAATTGTTCTCTACATTGCTTATATGGCTTGGTGTTAACCCCTTTTTTTGGCATGCGGATGCTGGAGCAATGCCAGTTGCCAAACAAAGTGATTCAGTTATTTTACATCAATTTTGTTTATACAAGCTGTAAACAGTAATCAGCTACTTAGATTAATGTGGCTAATTTTCTATCAATGCAGATCAGTCATCTACTGTACTCTTTCTCGCTTCTTTCGGTCTACTTGCGCTGGTGGCGCACTTGGAAAAAAATTCTCTGGAATCATGCGGCACCTTAGTGCCCGTGCAGCACCGACGGCATGCTTGCCACGTACGCGTCTGCACCCACCAGCCGAAGGAACAGAGACAGTTAGTCATTGTGGCTCCACGTGGAAGGAACGCGCGGCTAGCTGGTTCAGACTCATATGCATTGAGATTCACGCACAAGGATACATGGACGGCCTGCGCTCGGTGCTTCACGGGCTCCACGGTACAGCACGACTGCAGAGAATTTTTTTCCCGCGCACTTGGAGCTTAGGGAGCTGTGGACGATGAAAAGCTCACGCTTGGTTTTCTTGATTCTTGCCGTAATGATCAAGTGATTATTCTAGGACCAGATTAGCTCCCATAATTACATCTTTGGCTTGATTGATTCATATGACACATCAGAATCTTGAGACAAGTGGGATGAAGGTGATGCAACTGGTGCAGAAGCTTGTTCAGGCCGACACTAGCGGGTACAGCTAAGCTCTTCAATCACCAACGGATGCTTTCATGAGGTTCATTGCTCATCGAGGCTTACCATTTGTTGTTTTTTTTCACGTTCTGGTGTACTTGCAGATGTTCGAGTTGAAGAACTCGGTGTTGACATGGGAAGGAGCAGAAGCCACAAGCCATTGATTAAAACAAAAAATTGTGTGTGTAAATATTTCGCATGAGATTTATGGTACACTGTAGACATCCGTTAGTGAAGAAGGGTTTTGTCGTCATGAGGCCTAAAATTGATAACCTGATAGATGAACAAATTGACATGAATTATCCTCGTTGTATTCAACAATATAAGTTTGATCCTTTTTGATTAAATAATACAATAACCCTGTAAATTTGTATCGCTCCTTTTTCTGTGAATCTTCAATCTATTTTATTTTATACCGCGTTTGGTTGTTAATTTGTGTCACCTAAAATGCCACCGTGGCGTTAGCACGGACAATATACTATAGATTGTAAAACATGTATTGTGAAACACAAACTTGTTATGATTATCTTTCCGTAGCACTTGATTTCTAAAGAAGTGCAAGCTTATTTTTCACGTATCGTAGGCATGAAGTGATGCGACAATTGATGTTGATGTTTCAATTTTGCATTCAAATTTAGAGTTATATCGTACATTCATCCCATACATCCAAGCGTTGCATATGCAATTGTTGCATCTCAATGCTTCGCGTCGCGTCACGAAGCGGTAGTCGCCTCATTCGACATGAGCGGCAACTGATCGAGGTTTGAAGGCCAGCCCACGAAAGGCTCGAGGCCGCCTCAGGTCAAACAAAGCCAGGGGAGAAAAACCGAGATGAGCCCCAGCGGCCTTGCCCGACCCCGCTCAGAAGCAGACAGGGACATCTTGACCTTTCTCGTTCGATTCTAACCTCGAGCCAAACCCATAGAATCTCCATCGAGGAGAGGCCAACGGGCCACCCGAGCCTATCGAACGGCTCAGTCATCTGCCGAGAGGCGGGTTAAGAAGTAGTGGAATGCCACATGAGGGCTCTGCCAACCCCGTCAGTGGATGACAGGCCCGAATTACACTCGAACGTGCCCGTTAGCGAGCTCATTGAGCGCAACACTCGAGCTATCGAGGCAAGTGTCGTTAGCTCAACCCCTCCGGTTGCGGAAACCAAGGACGGGGTGACGCGTGAAACACGGCCAACCCCTATCAGACCCCAAGGGGCTCAGGGGCTCGAGCCGTCCGATCCTAGATCGAGAGACCGAGGTTCAAAGGCTAGCCCGTAAAGGGCCCGAGGCCAGCCACGTCGAACAAGAGCGGGGAAGAAAATGCGAGATGAGCCTCGGTGGCCTTCGCTCAACCCGCATAGAGGCGGATAGGGTCATCTCAACCTTCTTGTTCAATCCAACCTCTAGCCAAGCCCATAGAATCCCCATTGAGGGGAATCTGCTCAAGGCGGGTTAAGGACCAACGGAATGCCACCCGAGGGCTTTGCCGACCAGTGAGACAACGCGTTGCGAGCGCCAGCGCGACTCATGGGCGGCCCAAATACCTAAGCGACAGGCGGAAGGCGACCCGGCCTCAACCGGAAGGCTGGCCGAGGAGGAACGGCGCCGCTTCCGACTCGGCCCGCTCTCCGACCGGAAGGCCTCGCTTCCGACTCGCCCGCCTCGGACGGCCTCTCGACCGGAAGGCTTGGCCAAATACCACTTCCGAGGTCGAGGCGCCGAGCGTGAGGCCACGAGCGCCGGACGGCCGAGCACCACGCCACCACGGGCGAAGCTCCTCCCTCTGCTCGCCCAAATCCCCGCGCCCCTGCGTCTGAATTCGGCTCGTCCTGCCCTGATCCATCCCCTCCTCCGCTTCCCAGCGATGGGCGGCGGCTGTGTCTGCTGCGGTGGCCCCTCCTCCGCTTCCCCCGCCGTCGGTGTCGCCGCGGGCGGCCATTCCCGAGGCTCGCCACATCCTCCTCCACCTCCACTTCCTCGGCCCCCTCCGAGATGGCGTCCACGTCGGTCGCTAAGACGGTGAACGGCGCCCACCACTTTAAGATTGCGAGCTACTCCCTCTCCAAGGGGATCGGGTGGGGAAGTTCATCGCCTCCGAGTCCTTCAACGCGGGGATGGCGCTGGCTACCTCTCGCTATGTTGGTGAGGCACGGGAAGGTGGGTGAGGAGAAGGTCACCGAGGTCAGGTGGTTCCTCGACTCCAGTGCGGTGCCCGGCGTGCCTGCTGGACCACCCAAGTCGTCGGCTATTGCTAGGTGGGAGAACTTTGCGAAGAGGGCGGGGTTGGCCATGAACCCCATGGGGAGGAAGCTGTTTGAGGTGAGGGAGGTGAAGCAGAGCAACTTGTGTGTTACGGCGGATGTTGGGACAGCAAAAGAGCTACTTAAGCTTGCTGACGAGGTATACATGCCATTAGTTCTTGTGTTACGGCGGATGTTGGGACAGCAAAAGAGCTACTTAAGCTAGCTGACTCGTTTGCAAAAAGCATAAGCTATCATGAAGAAACCATTTTAAGTACTTTGCATCATCTTTATTATGACCTATCCATCTAGGTAAGCACCTATACTATAGCAATCACTTGATTAACCAATAACATCCAGTTACCAATTTAGATTTAGCATATCCCATACCATCCAGATAACCATCATTGTTCCATAATAATTACTACGATGCCGTAACTCGAGTCAAGTGCTCACTATCCAGGAGCGATGGCGATTCGAATCGATTCCTAACCAGCTGGTGATTTATTCCTTACACAAACCTCACTCACCCGCTAAAGTGAGATATTGATCACCGAGTCAACTATCCAGGAATCTCGAGTTTGTCAGGAACCACATGTACCCAGGGGCCGACCGACTGCACTTTGGTCTTATCATCTCGCCCCCGTGTCCTACCACACCTGCTCCGGCACAGTGCGCTGCGGGCTATCTACTCGGCCCGAATAATCTCCCGGCTTCACGGTCGGAAGGTACTTTATCCGGCCAGCTAAATGTAAGGCATGCGTTCAACATGACTCGAGGTCCAACAACGGACGGTCCTTAATCGACACAGACGGAAACTAACAGCACCCCAGAGCCCTGTCTGGTTGCCTCCAACTTTTCCGTCCGGTCTCCAATTATCCATCACACATGGTTAATTCCAGGATATCATTCTTTCCATAGCTAAATTCTTCCAGTAACCACCTATAAATGTAGGTGACCGGATATCACCGATCGCTACCGGTCTAAGCAAGGCTAAGCAGTTATTCGATCCCGACCTAATAGGGTAATAAGGTAATAAGGTAATAAGGTAAGCAAGGATAATACTAAATGCATCAACGGTTTCAATCAACTCCTACAACTTAATGCAACAATATATAACTCATATATAGAAAGAATTGCTTTTATAAAGTAGGAGACTTAGAATGCTCCGGGGCTTGCCTGGGATCCGACACAAGTCAGTTCAGTTAGCTTGCACCATCCTGGTGATATCACAGGTCCTAACACTTGCTTAGCCCTTCCACCTTCGGGATAGATCCATCAAACATTGTCTTTGGGTTTGGCTCCAACATCACGTCCTTCACGTGGTTCATCTAGCGTACCTAGATGAAATGCAATATGCAAGTGCATAAATATGAAGAATAGTACCATGAGACACATCACAAATTAGCAAGCAAGACAAGCATAGTTTACACTAACACACTTAAGTACTTTGCGATGCTTAACTTAAACATCACACAATCTATCATGCTAAGATGGCAAAGAAGACGACAACACCAAGCATGACACAAGTTTCCTAAGATCTCAAGTGCTCTAACTCAGTCATGATTCAAGGCATACGTCACACTTAACAATATACAAGCAAGCACTATAATTGGAATCTGCCAATTTCTGGACATGCAAACAGCAGCTACAAGATTTAGCTATAACTGGAGTTACACAAATCCAAATGACTTGCAAGAAGACATTATGGAAAGCTTATGAAATTTTCTACAATTCATCTTTAATCATCTTAGCATGATTCTCAAGTTAACTAAGTCAAATATATCCATTTACATAAACTGGTCCACAATTGACAGAAAGCAGCCATTTCAGAAACCCAACTTTAAACAGCTGTAACTCTTAAACTACTTGGCCAAATGACACCAAATTTTAATAAAAGCTAGATACATGAATTATCTACAACTTTTGTATAAACAAGTTTCACAACAAAGCACATTATCATGAAGAACTTTGCTAAGTTCCCAGATCTTTCCAAAAACCACATTTGCAAGAAAATAAATATTAACTTATGTTGTAAACACATAATTAGGCAAAACCAACTTTACCAACATTTCCCACATGACTAAAGAACACCAGAAAACCTAGTGTCCATGACCAATTAAATTCTTTTAATGCATTTCTTAATTTATTTTAGATAACAAGGTGACTTAATGAACATATACCAAAAGTATACAATCAATTCTACAAAAATTACAGTGGCTCACATATCCTATCAATAGTCTACTGTACAAATTTCACTCCATTTGAATATGTATAGCAACCTCTATGAAAAAGACAAGTTGCTAAAGCAAGAAATCATGTGAGAGCAAGATAAACCAATAACTCACTCATACTTCATCCAATACTCATGAAATTTTTACCACACATCAACTATCATATGGGTAGCATGCCACAAAAATTTCACTTCATTTGGAGCCCTAGATCTACAGTTATGAAAAATAACAAATTCAACTAGCATTACAACCATACTGCACAAATCTATTTTTACCGCAAAATATGTAAACTAAAACATGCCATATTATAGATCCACTGCATAGACAATTTCACAAGGATTCCAAAAGGTCCTCATTTACTATTTTACGAATTTTCTACGATTTACTATGAATTTCCAAAGTTCCTGCAAAATAATTACAAACCAGTCCTTACGGCACTATTCACATGAGTCTATGACATTGCAGAGAGGACCCTCCCTTTCTTCAAATTCTTGCGTGAAGTCCTTGACGTGGATCAAAGCAGAGGAGGCCGTCGGAGGCTCGCGGTGCCGGCCAGAGGAGGCTTGTCGGCGGCGGGGGAGGATTGCGTGAGCACCAGAGTGTCCTCCCGCGCCCGTGTGTGCACTCGAACTTGCCGGAGGTGGCCCACGATGGCCTGGCCACGCGCGTACGCGGCGCGCAGGGGCGCAGCTCCGGCGGCGACGGCGGAGGAGCTGGCCGGCGTTGGCGGGCGGTGGCTGGCAGCGGCGTGGAGCACCAGCGAGAGCGTACGCACAACTAGGAGCCCACAGCTCGGCTTGCGGTGGCCCAAGGACGGCTGGCCATGGAGCTTCGGCGGCGACGGCCATGGCGGACGTGGCCGCACGCAGCAGCAGAGCGAGAGGGAAGGAGAGTGGAGAGGCGAGCGGGGAATGCGGCAGCCCACACGCTCGGTTGAAGGAGCAGAGGCGCGACAGAGAGGCAGGGCACGCGGCAGCGGCGGGGGCACGCTGCTCGTGCATGGCCGCCACGCACAGGCCACGCGGCGTCCTCTGGGGCGTTTCCGCAAACACTTGGCGGGCGACGGAGTGGCCGGTGTGGAGCGCGGGTTGGGCCAGATCTGGGCCGATTTAGACCTCGGGCCCAAAACAAAGTTTGAAGCCCGCGAGCTGCTCTACATTTTTTATTTAGAGACCAAGGTCATTAGACCTCTTCAACAGCAGGTAATTGGGCCACAAACTGTCAATGTCAGCGCCTTGATAACGGTCACGGAAATTCACTTTCGGAAGTCAAAACTCGGTCAAACTCAGTGCAACTTTTTGCATGCTCTTCTCCATAATATAACCTTCAACTTTTATTTTTGGACCAACTCAAATTGCTTAACGAATTTCGGAGAACGCGGAATGCCAACGTCGTTGCTTAGCGAAACTCCAGACTTAGAATATTTGTAAGTGCTGAAAACAACAGCAAATTCGATCTTGTGACCTTGATTTGACTTACTTCCATGCTGATCTAGCTCTTAGTCCAAAAACAAAGTTTGTTCTACATGATATGGACTACAACTTTCATTTAAGGTCCAACCTCAAAACTGGTATAGAACCTGCTGTTCTACTTTGACCAAAGTAGGATCGCGATGAAGCTTAAATTATCCTTTTTGATCCATTGGAGCATTTTCTTGGCATTTGCCCAACATGAACCTTTCATGACTTTTGTTGTAGAGTTCATCTAGAGTCATTTTGGCAAGGTTGCAAGGTTTGGTTGACATCTCATGTTCTCATTCACTTAATAGTGCAATTCAAGCACTTAGTAAAATCATTCCAACAAGGATATAACTTATTATTTCATGTGACTTTTTGATTCCAAACTTCATGAAACTTTTCGAGTGTCCAATATAGATGGGTATTGATGTGAGACACATGAAGATATCCCAATCACACCACCCAAGCATATATCTTGAAAAGGGGTCTATAGGCGAGCAAGGGTGCAATATCCAAGTTTAGGTTGGGGCTCGTTTCTATAGGTTTGACCTTGACATCTTCATCATCACTTAATATACCATGTTTTTGCTCAAACCCATTGCTTAAGCGGTGGCAAACACCTGGGTGTGTTACCGAGACGGCGTGGCCCAGCCCACAGGGGGTCGGACGAGGCGGAAACCTTGTCCTCAGAGTCAGACGAGGCGTGGCCCGGTCCCTGGGGGTCGGATGAGGTGGAAACCTCGTCCTCAGTGTCGGACGAGGTCGCAGTTGCGTCCTTAACCATCGGATGAGCCGACGTGGCGCTTCGTTAATCCTTTGGCTTGGATACCGGGTATAGATATCCGACACGTGTATAGCCACCGCAACATCTAGATGACACACTTGCAACATACATTTGAAATGGCTAAAACATTTGAAACATACACTTGCAATACACGTGTATAACCATTGCAACATATACAACACCAGATCAACTTTTACAACATCCAAATGAAACATATGCAACATACATCTGAAACGCATAAAATATATGGTTACAACACTTGCTCATCTACTTGCTCCCGCCCAATGAAGGTTGACGCGGGCGCGGGGGACGCGATGATGCGGCGTGGGCGGGCACGCGTCGTGATGCACGAGACGCGAGCAAGCCGCTACTGAGGCGAGGGCGGTGTGAGGCATGGGCGGGTATCCACGACACGAGGCGTGATCGTGGGCAGGTCAATGCGACCGTGCGCGAGACGGAGGTGCGGGGCGCACTGGCGCAAGACGGGAGGCACAGGGCGCATGCTACGCGAGGCGGGTCCAGTGCGACCAAGCGGCGCAGGCGTGAGGCGGGTATGTCTCTGTCCGGACGGACGGACGTCCTGATAGAAGCATTACCGATTTCAAAATAAAGGATAAATAGTTATTAGGAAGGTAATAATCCAGCATATTTGAGGAATCCAATTTCTTGGAAACAAATAACAAAATCAAACCTCATGTCCAATCTAGTTTGTTCTTTTCTGGTTATTAAGTTAGGAACGGGTTCAAGTGGTCAACATGCTGAATGATCAGATATGTCTAATTTATGCTTTGTTCCCCTGGTTAACTAGACAGTTGGAGTTGGTAAGACGAGGGTAAAACGTGCTCTCAAATCTCAAGTCTTGGAGAAGGAGATCTGCTGATAACGCTTTAATTAATTCCATGGCGATAAAGCCATCGAAGACCTAGCTTTGAGTCATAGTAAACTGCACAGGGTGTGGGACTGGGACAGCCGAGTCCACCCTTTGGTCAATCGCACACGTACCAAACAGTCCATGATTACATTGGCTATGCATCGTTCCTTTAGAGCTAATCAAGATTATTTTTATCGCGTTGCTAAGGCGACACAAACCTTGCGAGTAGAGCTGTTCAATCTCAATTCTAGAAAAAAGATCTCAATTCCTCAACGCTCAGCAGCGGTACGGTCATCATCTAATCTGTGCTCTGTCTATGTGCCTCGTTTCGACGTAAGCTTGCTTGCATTTAAAAGAACTATATTAATCTTGTTCCGACTTCCGTACCGTAATGAATTTTTTCTTTGCTTATTTTTTAAGTAAAAACTTATTATTATTATTATTATTATTATTATTATTTTGCCTATGGTAACGGGGTGGGCTGTTTTAATTTGTAACAGCAGTACAATTACTTTTTAATATCGCGAAATGGTGAACGTTGAATTCTCACGCATCTGTAACATTTACTACATTTTCTTCAGATACTCGCCAACAATTGTCATGGGCATTGTCTGAGGCGCGTAGTAGTTGAACATTTCGACACACCGTGTTCCATACTACTCTAGATCGTGCCGTGCAATTGAGTGCAGAGGAATATGATACGCAAGTGGCAAAAGCGGCTACGAGGCAGGGGACAAAAATATTGACTTGGACAACTTGACCTGGAACTGGGATAGAGGGAGTCGTGTATATATACGTGCCATGGATCATTTGCTCTCTTCATCACTCCATCGAAAACCAACAACGAGACACCACAAGGATCGATAGCCACAGCACTCAACTGCACGCATCCCTAGCTAGTTTCAGATCATCCAACAAATTTGCCGTTAGCTCCTCCATCGATCCATCGATAGCCCATGGATCAGCAGCAGTACCCGACCATGTACCCAAGCGCACCGCCGACCCCGGGCAGCAACATGGAGGCTGGCCTCGTCGCCACGGGCCTGCCAGTGCGGCAGCAGCAGCAGCTCGGCGGGGCGGCGCCGGACAGCAGGGACGGCTGGGCGGGCAACGACCCCAACACGCTGATCGTGGTGGCGACGCTGATCACGGCGCTCAACTTCCTGCTCGGCCTCAGCATGCCCGGCGGCTACTGGCAGACCGACCAGACGGTCGTGAGCGACGCCGGCAGCGTGGTGCCCCGGTACCGCGCCGGCGACCCCATCATGCGCGATCTGCACCGGCCGAGGTACTGGGTGTTCAGGGGCGCGAGCTGGGTCGGGGTGGCGAGCTCCATGGTGATGACGCTGAGCCTGCTGGTGCGGATGCCCGTGGGCTCGCGCCACGTGCTGTGGTCCTTCGCGGTGGCCTACTCCAGCCTCGTGCTCACCTTCATCGTGTCGCAGTCCAGGACGCACCTGTCGCTGGACATCATCATCTGGGTGGCCGTCCTCGCCTTGATCTGGCTCGTCATCAGCCTCCACCCGGACCACCGGGCGCGCGTCATCCGGGTGCTCTTCTGCTGCGACCGCGACAACTGAAACCTCTTGCTTTGCCTGCTTGTCTCCTATCGTCTTCGATCATGTACGGACAGTGGACTGAAACTAGTATTAGCACTCCGTAGCTTCGATGTTTATCGGTGATGCGATGTTTGATTGGCTTTTCACAGCAACTAGTGAACTCAATGTGAACTTTACAACCATATGTGCGGTGAAGTTTGAAATGCAATGTGTGTGAAACCGAAATCTGTACTTGCATGAGTGTAGTACATTGCATTAAATCTTGTGTTTACACTACGGGAGAGGCAAAATTCCCCGAGTGTCACTGGCTTCCCCGAGTGCCAAAAATCGGGCACTCGGAAAGAAAATCTTTCCCAAGTGTTGCACTCGGAGAAGAATTGCACTTTCGGAGAAGAGAGGCTTTCCCGAGTGCCGCAGAGATCCTGGCACTCGGTAAAGAGAAGCACTCGGCAAAGGCCCTCTTCTCCGAGTGCAACACTCGGGGAAGATCGACACTCAGCAAAGAAACATGTTACTTGACGGTCCACCCCGCCCACGCCGTTAAAACTTAAAAAAAGAAAATTCTTCCCCGAGTGTCTTCCCTGGCACTTGGGGAAGAGGCCCTTTCCCGAGTGCGAGCAGGGGCACTCGGAAGAGGCTGCCTTCCCCGAGTGCCGGGGAAGGCGCTCATGGAAAAATTTTGTTTTTTTTTTTTTTTTTTGCCTCATTTTTGTGAGGCCTTCCACATTATTTAAAACTCCTGTTCAAATTTGGGACAATTTTGACTTTTTTGTTATATTTCGTTAGTTTTTTCGTTTCGTTGAATTTTTTTTGCATACTTTGAATTTGAATTGCAGGTGCATGAAATAATAGAATTTGGTGATTCAAAAAATTATATTAAGAATATTTGGTGTATGTTGAGGCCTTATCCAGGAACTCGCATGAAATGTCGAGCATCTTGTTGACGTAACATGACTAATAACTTGCGGGAAAAGTGTTTTTAAATTATATAAAATCCGAACGAAGTCCGAAAATCACGAAACTTGTATGGGCGTCGTGTTATCGCATGTAGAAGCTATGGTAAAAAAATCAAGAAGGTTTCGAGCAAGTTGCGACGTCGGATGCCTAAAACCCAGACATCTCCGCATGCCTATTCAAGTGATCACATGCGGAGATGTCTGGGTTTTAGGCATCCGACGTTAACTTGCTCGAAATCTTCTTAATTTTTATCATAACCTCTACATGCGATAACACGACGCCTGCATAAGTTTTGTGATTTTCGGACTTCGCTCGATTTTATATAATTTAAAACATTTTTTCCGCAAGTACTCTCGCCATGTTACATCAACAAGATGCTCGAAATTTCATGTGAGTTCTGGACACAAATTTCAACATACACTAAATATCATGAATATTATTTTTCCAATCAAGAAATTCTATTATTTCATGCACCTGCAGTTCAAATTTGAAGTATGCAAAAAAATTCAACGAAACGAAAAAAATTAACGAAATATACCAAAAAAACTCAAAATTATCCCAAATTTGAACAAGGAGTTTTAAATAATGTGGGAAGGCCTCACAAAAAAAATGAGGCAAAACAAACAAAAAATAAAAATTTCTTCCCCGAGGGCCAGGGAAAGCACTCGGGGAAGGTTTACTAGAAAGCGGGCACTCGGGAAGACTAAAAAAGCCCACCATGGCCCGGCCCGCCGTGGCCTTATCCTAAACCTAACCGGCCACCACCCCACCCGCGCCCCCACCACACGCGCCCGCCTGCCCAGCGCACTGCACCGCCGCCGCAGAGGCTCGCCGCCACCCACCATTCGCCCCGCCCATTGCCCCCCCGCTGCATGCCCATGCCCTGCCCCGCCCAGCCCTCCCGCCCCGCGCCCCCAGCCCCCACGCGGCCTCGGCCCTGCATCCCCGACCCCCGCCGCACAGATCCCCCCTAACGGGCCGCCTGGCCAGACGCCATGACCTCGCGCCTCCCCTCCTCTCGCGGCCGCCTCCCATCCTCCGCGCCACGCCTCCCCCATAAGCACGACGACAGCCGCGAAAGCGCGACGGAAGAGGCGATGAAGGCTGCTAAGGTGGCTGGCGATCGCGGCGGCGCTGGTCAAGCTCCCTGGCCGCGTGCGCCGTGTAGGTCGTGCTCTCTGGACGGCTCCCCCGCCCCGGTGGAGCCCTAGCCCCGACGCCATGCGCCTCCAACCGCCGCCCCAGCTCCAGCCCCGATCTGTCACGGCGAGCCACGTCCCTGAGCCGTCCGCCCCGACTCCAACTCCGGCGAGCCCCGACGCCGTCCGCCCCGATTCGCCTCTCCAAAGAGCCTCAGCGGCGTTGTCCTCCCATGTGCCTCCATCAGCCACACCGCCGTCCGTCGGTCCGTCCGCAGGTGCTAGGCTGGTGCGCCTCCTCTCTCTTCTACTTGCAGCATACTGCCCAATGTTGTCGTTCTTGCATTAGCAGAGATCTGGTAAACGGTCCATCGGATTCAGCAAAAACAGCATTGATAGTGAGGTTTTATTCGAGATAATTGTTTATTTGATTGTACCTCGCATTGATGAGGATTCCTGCAATAATCAGTACCACTCAGAAAATTGAGTAACCCATATGCGTGTTCACGTGCCGGTTAAATTCTACTATTATTATTCAGATTGATCGGGTTACAACATTCATTTGTCCTTTTCAAATATACAATGCTTGATTATGATAATGAATAAGGCATCATAGCTTATTGACTTTTTACGATAACAAGTGTTTCCTTCTTTGCCAAAGTAACTGTTATTCTTCAAGTGATATGTATGACATAAATAGTATGGTAAAGGCATCAATAATTGTTGTTCTTGAGTGAGATGGCATATATAGTATGGTAAATGCATTCAAAATTTGTTTTTGCTCTTTGTAGCAGCTAAATCCTTAATTGTACCCTCCTATGATTGTGTCTGATGGATGCTTGTTATTTGAGATTTAAGATATTGGTTGGTTAGGTAAATTTGTTAGCGGTCTTTATTGCAATATATACTTACTGCTTCAAGTACACAGGTTTTTATGAGCTTTGACTTGGAGATGTTACTGTGATGCAAAGAACATGAATTGGCTCATCTACCGTGGATGACAGGTACATTCACCATGCCATAAATTGACACGGCTAACGGTCATCATCTTTGTACATTTATCTGCAAAACTGTGACTTTTCCA